TTAGTTTAGCTGTACAGAGGGGGAACGCTGCCAGTATCTTCGGGACCTTGCCTAAAGGGACTCCTTTTATTAACATATTTTAGTTAATTATTCGGTTTTTTTTTTTTTAATTTTATTTTATATCATAGGTTTAAGAGTTTATGTATTCAGATAAATAAGGATGTAAATAAATTTTAATGAATAAACATTACAAAAACATGTGGTCATTGTAGGAGTGAGATAAGGATTTTTCAGATATTTATTTTAATCCGATTTCCTAATAAATGTGTTAAATAATCATGCAAATAATATCACGTTCCGATACGTGGAAGACTGTCGTGATGTATATTATCGAAGCAAACGTAAAATAGTTTCTTTATTAGAGACACGTGTATTTATATCACGCACTAAAATCGACTCCAAATTGCTTTAAACAAGATATAAATCTAACACGTGATTGATATATTTGGTATTTAAGTTTACATAATACATTGACTTTAGATAAAAAACTTGTAGAGTATATATTAATGTACAGTCAGCTGCATAAATATGTATACATTAAGACAGCCTTAAAAACTTGTAGGCCTTTGATTTCAAAAATACGGATCCGGCAATAACATGTATTTATGGCCAGAAGTATACGGACGGATACTCGCATACTTTTTGACCGATTTAAAAAAGGAGGATGTTCTCAATTCATCTGTATGTTTTTTTTTTGTTCCTTCTTTACTCCGTCCCTAGTTGTCCGATTTTCATAGTTCTTTTTTTTATTCGAAAGATATTGCGTGTCAATATTAAAAAGTATTTAATAGTTTTTGAGTTAACCGTGCCTACGCAGGCCAAACTACACTACCTACATAAAATTACGTATGAAAGAATTGTAACCCTTTAATACTTAACAGTCCGCGATAGCATATATCTATATTTTATAGTTTTTCCACAAAAACAATTTTTTTCTTTAGAAATAGCACTTATGAAACTGAGGACGTATGCAAGTTTTTGGAGCATTCTAAATGCATACATATTTATGCAGCTGACTGTACACTGGTTAGATTTTGTGAATCGAATTCTTGCAATTTGAAATTACGTATGGAAACAAAGGCTTTCCAGACTAATGACGTCACAATACGCGATAATATGTAGGAAATCAATTGGCTTGTAATTACAAGAGACAATACATTGCATACTAAAGTTATTTTGACCCAAATAAGTCAGACAATAGACTGTTGGTTATTGTGAGGTTAACAATCTTTTGTTTTTGCCCTTGGTACTGGCAGCTTGCCAAAGCCCTTCCTACTAATAGGTGGTCCTTCGAGCCATGATGAGTAAACTAATACTGTGAATTTAAAAATTATTTATACTCTTATTACTTCTATGACTTTGTACTCACGCCCGTAACCCAGAGGGGTAGGTAGTGACCAAAGACCACCTTCAACTGAGTATGTATGCTTTTAAGAGGACTTTAGTAAGATATCAATGTGATCAGGCGACAACGACCCCTATGAAAACTGCAACTCACTTTCTCAACAAAAATTAAAGTGTAAAAACTACCGAAGTATGCCATTCTAAACTTTACTCACCTTGTTATAAGTCACATTTTTTACTTTTTTTTTATATTAAAAGGTGACAAACGAGCGAGCAGCCACCTGAAATCGCTGAAATAGCGAAGTGACTGCTGCTCATAGATATACGCAATTGCATATGCGCTGCCTACATACTGCTGCCTGATGCACAGAAAGAAAATATCTTCCCTTTCCATGCACCCTCTCATCCGTAAAGTCCACTTCCACTTCCCATCCTTTCCTTATAAAGAAAAGGATGGGAAGGGAAAGAGGACTAAATTAGGCCTCCGGGACGCACACTCATCAGACGAAACGCGGAATTGCTTCCACTTCACGCCTGTCTTCTGTGTGGTCGTGGTATTTCACCGGGCGAGCCGGGATAATTCGTGCGAAGATGTTAAAGCGGGCTCTACCACTGTTAAAATCTTTATGATACAAAGATATACTTACATGGTGCCTTTAGCGACGGTCATGTTGAGGTTGCTAAGTACGTGGTTGGGCCGTTTATTTGAGCCGTAGTGCTTGAACGCGTGCCGGACGCACACAGCCTGTTGACGTTTCTGCCATACCTACAATATAAAGAAACGTAATTATATAAATTGTTTTTTTTAATTATATTTCATTATAATACCAATTTAATAACAATCTGAGTTGGTTATGAATAGTCAATCATTTTTTCAGATATTACAATGAGTTGTAGAGGTATTTCGTCAGTTGTTAATTTGAAACAAAAATTCAATTGTATTTATGTAACACTAGGAGATGCATGCGACTTCTTCCACGAGGAAATAATTTAATATAGTAATAAATATAACCTTCCTTTCCAACAGTAAAAGAATTTTGCAAATCTGTTTAGTAATTTCGGAGCCTATTTAACGCAAACATTCAAATGTTTCCTCTTTATTATATTAGTATAAATTAATATTTAATTAACCACAAACATCAAAATCAGTTAAATTTTCCCTCGTATTGTCAGTCACGCAAAAAACAAGTAACAACTGAATAGGATTTTATCATAATAGTGGGAAATATTGTTAGCGCCTGAGAATTCAACGTTTGACATAAATAAGAAGTACATAATACATTAAAATATTAAGTAAAATACTTCTATTATATACAATTTGATTCATTAAATTTAAAGAAGACATTTCAGAGCGACAACTGCCTAATGTTTAAGGATACGAATTTCCGATCCATTCGACTATTGTCGTAAACCATATCCTAGCAAAAGCCTAGATTTTAGTTGGAATGGTAAAAGAAATATAAGTAAATTTACAAGAAAAATCTGTTAATATTAATAAGTAAAAATGTTAACTTCAAAGTATCAACTTGTAGCAACTTAAAGCGTGTTTAAATTAATCTTTAGAGAAGGTTCAAAGGTTCTATATCTAACATTATGTATAACTAATATTCTTTACATAAGCTTAATAATGATAAAAACTACAATACCTTTTTTATCTATTTTATCCATTAAGTTAATCGTATAACATTGTAATAACAAGATTAACTACATTATACTTTGTACTTAAACTAAGTTAAAACAAACTAATATTGTCATCTTTTTCTTTTTAGCCGACTTCAAAAAGGAGCAGGTTATCAATTCGTCTGTATTTTGTTTGTGTGTTACCGTGTAACGCCACCCATTGTGCTCCGATTTTTTTTTTGATTTTTGCTTTGCTTGCATGTGTGTCCCATTTTCTTTATTATTTTTTATAATGACTAGAAGTTTAGTAGATTTTGAATTTAAGTTAAAAATGCGTGACGAAAATTTTGCACTTTTTTTGCTTTCTTCGCTTACGTAGCCTAAACTATAGAAGAATTTGCAAGTCTTTAAAAGTCTGCAATAGCATAATTCTGATAGGTTTTCAAATATTTTTTTTCTTTCTGGAAAATATTAATTATATATTGACAAAACAGAGATACGATATGTTTTTGTATTAACGACAAAAATGACGAAACATTTTTTCTCCGTTTTCCATGTTCCACTTTAATATTTCCAAGTAAAATTGAGGTGCATCTTTGTATGTTAAATAATAAAAATGTCAACGTTAAAATTCCAAGATAATGTCAACAAATCGTACACAAAGCTAATGCACTCTTCTGTCATTTCTTCTGATTGCGGATGTTTTTGGATAACGTTCGTTAAATGGGTTCCCACAGTCAAGAGACTTGTTTAAAAGATAATCATCTCTTTCCTTTTCTTTGAAAAAGACAGAGAGAACAACACTTTTTTATAACAGTATTACGACAATGAAATTTCACGGTAAAATAATCTAAGCTTAGTTTAAACATTGTACGTCAGTTACAGAAGTCAATTTTGACACGTATTTATATATTAACTAGCTATCGCCCGCGACTCCGTCCGCGCGGGATTAAAAATAGATGTTGGTCGATTCTCAGACCTACTCAATATGCTCACAAAATTTCATGAGAATCGGTCAAGCCGTTTCGGAGGAGTATGGGAACGAAAATTGTGACACAAGAATTTTATATATAAGATTTTTGTTATATGTTTTTTCAATTTTTATTATCCCCTAAAAGTCGCAGCGAGGTGATAAATAGCTCTAAACCTTCCTCAATAAATAGTCTATTAAATGCAAAAAGAATTATTCAAATCGGGTTCATAGTTCCAGAGATTAGAGGGCACAAACATATTAAAAGATAACGTACCGTGCTTTCTTGTTTGTCTAATGGTGGTGAGAACTGTATCTGGCTCATCTTGGACTCCTTCTCGTCGCCCATTGGCGACGGAGGCGAGGTTTCTCTGTAAACAAAAGAAAACATATTTAATTAAAGAACATCTACGATTCTTGATGAATCTTTAAAGCAACGAAACATGATTTATATCGTTTAGTTTACAACGTAATCTGAAAAGAAATATGCTTTTATCGAATACTTCATCCACTGTCGCTCAGAAACTGGCAACACTAAATTTTATTCCTAACAAAAAATTACGAAAATGCTATAAGAAACAAATACATTAAATTACATGTAATTTATTACAAAAGTAAAGGACAGCACACTTCCGACACCGTCGCCATCTTGATGACGTCACAGAGTGCATACTCATGGTAATGTGTGAATAAAATTATTTGAACAATCGTGATTTATTGATGTCTATTTGTTTGTCACACAACCATGAGAACAATAGAATGTGTAAAGTCAAAGACAATTTTCATTTTTTTTAAATATTATTATTATGATGAACGTAGAAGTACGCGAAAAAATATTGAAACCTCTTTTTCGGTTTCTTTGTTTTATAATATATTCTATTTTTAAAAGTTATTTTTGCCCGAATGTTATGTTTTTCGCGCGTATGTATGTAAGGTTTGTATTATACTAGTGTTATCCTACGACCTCATCTGCGCTGGATTAATAAAAGTAGCTTATAATATTAAAATTCCGTCCAAATCTATCGGATCTAGTTAAAATTTTCCGTTGATGTAGAACATAGTCTGGAAGAACACATAGGCTACTTAGTAAGTATTTTTTAATTCCGCGCGGGAGAGTCGTAGGCGACAATTATGTCAATCACTTTTAAGTGACAAGATAATTGTTGATGCAATAATCTTTTAAAAGAGGAAGAGAAAAACATTAATTGAGGAAAAATATTTCTTAACCTCTATTATGTATAATTTAACACTAGTTTAATTGTAATTTTAATTCATTAAGATTGCAATGCGTCCATTGTGCTAAAACACGCGTGGAATTTCATTGTGCGTCGCCATTTTGTTTTATATTCAAGAGACGTAAGCCATTTATATTCTCTGTGCGTCCATTTTGACATATCACTCACGGTCAAGCGTTTCAATTGTGGCGAAACTATCACAATTATGTAGGTTGAACTACAGATGAAATGCACAGGATAACCTAGGATGGACTATATTTTATCTAACTTTATCACATGTATTTGCATTATTACGTACCAATACAGATTTCAAAACGCCTATATAGGATGTTCGAAGTGAAAAAAATGAAAAATACTTGTAAATGAAAAATAATTTATGAACATCCCGTAGTTCATGTGTTTTGTTGGTAACAAATTTTAAAATATAGCTTGGATTAATGAAGATAGTTACCATCAATTCTTCATAAGCTAGTGGAAATGTAGCTTAGTATTCAGTTGATTGATAAATTAATTTTATATAATATATATATTTAAACTATGTTTCCACTACTGAAAAAAATATATTCACTTATATTTTTCCATAAATTTTCCATAGAATAGAACTGCGTTAGCGTTTATTACAAATACAGTTACAAGAACGGTTAATCATACAATTCTAATTAATTATCAAGTTAACTGTACTGTATGACTAACCGTTGATTTCTGAGAACAAATTATCAGTATAAACATATCGTCATCCCTTTCGTTGTTTTCGACAAAACAGAGATGACAATATGTTTTAAATAAAAGTTTGGTCTCAGAAACCCACGGTAAATCGTTTAATTGTTTATCTTATTCATGCTCAGAAATAATTTATTTTTAAATAATAGCAGATTTTTTGGAAATTTACCAATATTTCTTTAACCATTCCAACTAAGCTTTAGGCTTTGGCTAGGATATGGTTTACGACAATAGTCCAATGGCGGGATTCGAACCCCAGCTTACTAACATTATAATTGCGAAGGTTTAGATGGATGTTTGTTTGAACATATCTCCAGTACAACTAAACGGAACCTGCTGCAATATGACATAGATGTAGAACATAGTCTGGAAGAACACATAGGCTATTTATTATTATTTTTTTATGTCGCGGACGACAGCTAGTCAATTAAAAATTTGTTAATTAATTGTATAATTTTAACAGACTTTTTAAAGATATGGGATGTTGCAAAATATATTTTTCTTACCAATGGTTACATTGATACCATCGGAACAACGGAAAAAACCCCAGTTATGTTTTGATTTTTATAACGGAGATTTACTGTTGTGGAAGATTTCTCACTAGTATTGTCTTTGTTATAATCAATTATGAGATAGGCAGGACTAAACAATAGATTTGTTTAATTTTATAGTTATCATCATCATCAGCTCACTATACGTCCCCACCGAGGGGCTCGGAGCCTACCTTAAGTTAAGGGTGATTAGGCCATAGTCAACCACGCTGGCCAAGTGCGGGTTGGTTGACTTCACACATATCTTTGAATTACTTCTCAGATATGTGCAGGTTGCATAACGATGTTTTCCTTCACCGTAAGAACATCGGATAAATGTACATATGTAAATCGGAAATCGAAAAACACATTGGTACATGGCGGGATTCGAACCCAGGACCTGCAGATTGCAAGTCAAGTGCTTGACCACTGAGCCACCGACGCTATTATAGTATAACGTATATAATTTTATAGTATTAACGTGTAATTAAAGAATATAATTATTAATAAAATTTGAGTCCTTACAATGTTAAATAAATATTTAATACATTATCAAAGAAAGACGTTTTGCACATATGAAATCCATCTATCTTTGTTCCAAATTTCAAACCCATTATTTTAGACATTCTGGAGTTATAGTCGAATTAGGATAAGCGAGAACTTTTCTACCGAGTCTTTAAGCGAGAGTCATTATCTTGTCCCGACGGGCAACCTCTATAAGTAAGAAATGAGAAACATATCACGAATCCAAAGGCTCTCGTTTATCCCGATTCGAAAGCACTTGATAATCATCCTTTCGCATTTATAATATTAGTAAGATAGTGTCAAATATTTTTATTTAATTACATTATATCATAGAGAAGGAATTTCTTTGTAACGTGATTAAATATAAAAGTGCAAAGGGCACTTCCCTGTGTTCTGAGTCACAGTGGAAACGGCACGTATTGCGGTTTCACTGCGCTCAGCGGAAACATTGTTTAATATTACATTGTACATGTTTATAATACTAGCTGTCGCCCGCAAATCTGTCTGTGCGGTATTAAAAAAAACTTACTAAGCCTATGTTCTAAATCTATGCGAAATTTCAGAGGTACCCGTTGAACTCTTTTGGAGATACATACAAAAAAACATCCATTAATCCATACATCCAAACTTTCGTATTTCTTCATCATATTGATGAAATATTTATAGAGTTAAACTTAAGTAATTATCGATGTTCTAGTCTAGAAGGTGACTAATACGATTTTATTTTTGACATTTTTTTTTTATTTTTACTACAAATTTAACGGATTTAAAAGTGATATTGCAATAAATAAACGTGATTTATTTTATTTTGAGATTTATTAATTTTTACACTCCGTTTCATGCAATGTATAATAAAAAATTTCAAATATCAAATATTAAAAAATTGATTACGACCGTAAGAAATATCAAAATTTAAATCAATTTAAAAATTTTAACGTGAAAATTCTGATGATCTTAGCTCTGAAGGAGAGTTTAAGGCTCTTATAGCATCAGTGGCTTAGGGATTCAACTCTCAGTGGAGACGTAAAGTGAGCTGATGGTAAGGATCTTATGCCTCGCAGTTATGAAGCGTTGTAGCTAACTTAACTAAGGTTACATAAAGCAATCACTGTAAGTGTGTCGTGCGACTTGCCGACGACTTGCCGACGGGAAGACGCATTGTTAGCCTCACGCACTCAATTAACATTAAGTATCGATTGTCTTTTGATTCACACATCTACTGTCCCATTGTGACACACCAATATGCGAAATTAACACTTATTCCTATGCACTTAATGGTTAAAATCATATATTCAATATTGCAATATCTTGTTATAGCTAAGCGGAGTAATAAAATGAAAACGGCAAACCTTGTTTTGAAAGGAAAAAAGAAATCTTGAAAAAAAAAACAATTAATTTCTATTAATTTTATATATCTCATATAGTTAGTACGAGTACTAGGATTCTCTTCATTGGCAATTAAAATGACTCGTTAAAATTTTGTATAGAGGTTTATGTTACTTAGTTTAGCACTAAGTAAGGATTTCATGAAAATCATCCCTTAACCCTTATGTTCCTTATGTTATATAAAAATATACGATCACTATAAAACAATTTTTAACTTAGTTGTTTTAACTTTCTTTTGCTTTTCTTCAAAAAAGAAATCTTGCCACAGTAAGGGTTAAAGAGGGCGGTTGAAAACTTGTGTGAAGAGGTGTTATTTCTTAAGCAGAATTCCAGGACACTTTTCAGTACCTACGTATTTACGTATTTCGATTTTTCTTTAAATTATCCGTTTATTGAGAAAAAAGTTGCGTGATATAGCAAGTCTTACTCACATTATAAATGCGAATGTTTAGATGATATTTGTTAGAAGGTATCTTCAGATTGGCTGCATGAATCTCGATGTAATTTGACATAGATGTAGAACATAGTCTGGAAGAACACATAGACTATTATTAAGTTTTTTTGATTCCTCGCGGACGTAGTCTTTACGTTATAAAAGAACGTTCATCAATGATACTGATTAAAAAGATTTCAAGACACAAAAGTAACCAGGGCCAGTTAATAAGTTACGCAACGCACAACGCGGCTCTAGTGCGGTTTGGAATCGACCAGTACCGGTCTGCTGTGAGGCAATTCATATAACTATTATACAATAACTTGTGAAACGTACTAAAGTAGAAGATAAATACAACCTTATTTATATTACTGTAAGTTTTATATTCGTGATAATTTTAAATGTTAAAGTAAAGTAGGTTGCGACATGAATGATCGAATCGGAACCGAACACCGGACACAAACACGATTAACTTGGTCTCCGAGACCGAAATCTTTGTAAAAACATTCTTATTGACAAATTAAAGATAATAGTATGTTTTA